CTCACTGTTATCTAATAGTTAAAAGAGATGGAATAATCTATATATAGAAAATGATCTCTCTACAGGTATATGGCATCTAAATAGGACGACTAAGCTACATGTGATAATTTTATACACTTTATGACTACTCAAGGTGGTTGACATAATGTTAAATTACTTTAAAGCTTTAAATTGTTAAAGCTAGCTAGCTTAGCTTAGTGGTTCAACTTTTAATTTTAATTACTTGACATTATGCCGTTTTGTCCCCTAAAAACCCTGCCGTCAAACTTCTGGTAAAAGCTGTTCTTCACCTTTAATTTTTAACCCTATCTACTTAATTAAATTAGTTGGTAATTTAATTTGAAATTACACTTGTGTAAATGAGTTTCCCCATCCTACTTTTTGCAGTAAATACGAGTTTTTTACTTTTCTTGTTTTATGCTTTTATTTTGCAGTAAATACAAGTTTGATCTTCATTTCATTATAAAAATATTAATTCTACTCCTAACTTTTATTCCCTCTCGGAGCATTCATACTTGTTTGAGTTTTTTTGTGAGTTCTAATGTGATGAAAGAGAGAGGAGAGAAAGAAAAAAGAAGAGAAAAAGAAAAAGAAAAAAATCTGACAATTAAAAAAAAAAGCGTGGTAACGCACCTTGCATGGCGTCTGACGCGCGAATTTGGCGTGGAAAAGGGCAACAAATCTGACACTAAAAACCTTCATTTGCAGGGATGAAAAATTAAACCAAGTAAAAACTGATCTCCAACATCTCTAAAAAAACAACCTTTGGCTTTTTGTTCTGAAAAAATCAAGTAAAATCGACAAATGTGAATGCTCTTACAAAATTTTGATGTTGACATTTTTTTGGAACCCACAAAATAAATATAACTAACCATCAATTGTCATATTAGTGGGTAAAAGTGAATTACAAGTTTGCAACTAGATATGTGGTCTATTAATAAGGTAGTATTTTAATTAGAGTAAATACCCAAAATGGTCCTCGACTATAGCTAAATTCACAAATTGGTCCTCGACTTTCAATTTCAACCAATTAAGTCCTTAACTTTGTAATTTTGACACGATTTGGTCCTCCATCTATTTGACCGTTTGTTGACTGTGATCGACGATCTCCAGAAGAACCTTCAGCTCTCGTCGGAGCACGTAGAGGCCTCCAGGATGACGTTGCACTGGTTTAGAAATACGTCGTCTTCTTCGCTCTGGTACAAACTCAAGTACATTGAATCCAAAGGGAGGATGAAGAAAGGCGACCGGATTTGGTAGATTGCTTTTTGGCAGTGGATTTAAATGTAACAGTGCGGTCTGGAAATGCAACTAGAACCTTAAAAAATCGACGATGGACCATGAAATCGCATATATATCCTCAAAAATCACAGTCAACAAATGGTCAAATAGACAGATGACCAAATTGTATTAAAATTACAAAGTTAAAGACTTAATTGGTTGAAATTGAAAGTCAATGACCAATTTGTGAATTTAGTTATAGTCGAGGGACCATTTTAGGTATTTACTCTTTTAATTATTATTTCAACAAAAAAAAAAAAAAAAAAAAAACGCACTGTATTTGTTATATGTAGAGTGTGGGAAAGAAGATAGGGAAAGCTCTTTTTTTTTTGCAGGCATAAAAGCTGAGTAATTATTCGTGATACGCATGAACGGTCCCCAAGCTGCTGAAACAACAAACGTTGTTAAGACCATTGGTTAGGTGTTTGCATGCACGCTCGTGACTTCTTATTTTTACCCCTTCTTTTTTCACTTGCATTGGGATATTTTTACATTTCTTGAATTATATATTGAAGGTGATGTTACATACCTAATTGTAGCAATGAATTGCTAGTCAATTCAGCTCCATGAGACTAACTCAATTGATTCAGTTGATCCTCTTAAAGTCTTACTCCAATAGTAGTGAATTACTAGCTCTACTATAAAAATTCAATATAGATCTAATATTCTATTATGTCATAATCATACATTGTTTATTTAACAATTGCTCTACTCCTCTCCGCTATAAATTTACCATATTTTATATAACAAAATAGGTAAGACGACTCTTTAAACTTCACTACAAATTAAGTTAGCCAAAATACTTAACAAAAACGTCCACTGTGAGGATACACCTCACTGCATGACCAATCAGCAATAAGTCTTACTTTTAGCGATGAGTTAAAGATTTAATCCTCATTGAGAACCTAGCTAGGGCCATGGGGAGGTTGGCCTATCACTACAACATGTGTGCACTCTTTAAATCTTTTTTATATCAACGGAACATCAGTTATATAAGACAACCTCATTCAAATTGGTAAGACAGTTTACTTGATAAACACAATGTTCTAAGTTTGATTCCTTTGAGAACTGTCTATCAATCTTTTTAGTTGTCATAAGGTGAGTTTCACCGAGAGCGCACGTTCAAGTAGCGGCTGCAATGTTTCACCTAAATCAAATGAGCAACAATTATATAGCACAATTCAGTGTGGGTTGGCCCAAAGTTCAGTATAGGCCCGACCCGTTTGCTCGGCCCGGCTCGATTCATTTGCTACAATGAGTGGACTAGGGCTAGCTCGTTTTATACTATAGACAAGACCGAACTTTTTCGTTTAATTCCAATAATAGTTGGCCAAAAAATTAAACGACATGACTAAATTAAATGTGATACAAATTACATAGTCATGCATCTAATTTGAAAATAGAGGAAATTTCAATTTTGGTCCTATGACTATAGGGGTCTTGTTAATCTTAGTCACTGACTTTTAAAAGTGTCAATTTAGTACCTTAACTATGTAATTTTTGTCAATTTTGGTCACTTCAGCCAAATTACCGGCCAAATTTCGCCGGAAAATTTTAATTGTTAAAATAATGAGGGTATTTTGATCATTTCACGTCTCTTTTCTTCTTCCCAGGCGAGTCTATCCCTTCCTCTCACGTTTTCGTCGAATGAAATGAACTAATATGACGGGGAAAGGAGGCTTGATGATATTAAAGATAGGGTTTACGGGGAGAAAAAACGTCGAAAATGGGAGAGAAAGTGATGCACTCGCCGTAGAAGAAGAAAAGAGGCGTGAAACGACCAAAATACCCTTATTATTTTAATTATTAAAATTTTCTAGCGAAATTTGGCCGACAATTTGACCGGAGTGACCAAAATTGACAAAAATTACATAGTTAAGGTACTAAATTAACACTTTTGAAAGTCAAGGACTAAAATTAACAAGACCGATATAGTCATATAACCAAAATTAAAATTTCCTTTTTGAAAATATTAATAGTCAAGGACCAAATATAATACAAATTACATAATGCACTTAATTTAAAAATATTAATAATTAGTCTAAATTTAATATATGTGCAATAGTCATGAAACCAACTATTCAAATCTATTTCATTTATAATTAAACCTCAAAACAAAAAGTTAAAACAAAAGAAAAAAAAAAACACAAAACAAAATGTAAAATGGGGGTGAGACGACAGCGTCCGTCCAATCTCTCTCAATTTCTTCTCGTTCTCAGCAAAAAGGCTGTTGTACTAACGTGTGCCGCACATGCGCCGGCTCATCTTAGCACTTTAATCAAGGTTTAAGGGTTGGTTTGTTATTAAAGTGAGGAGAATTTAGGAATAAAAAACAAAGGGCTAATTTGTCAAAAGCAAAATGTCGCCGGAGACTCTACGTGGCTTTGTCAGCCTGCTTCCCCGCCAAAAGTTGAGTAAAAACAACACCATCAAAAGAACAAAAAAGATGTCTCCATGGCCTATAATAATAATAATAATATTATTATTATTATATTTTTAAAAGAAAATTTTACCATAATTTTAATCATGATTAGGTTAATCACTTTGTACCAGGGAAATATTACCCATGGTAAAAATAGAATTATGATTTTGAGCGGAAGAAACTTATTCACCCTTAGTCAAAATTATTATTTCAACTTCGTATGATTATACCTGAACTCTATGATTCTATGAATCCGTCCATTAGTCCCATGAGAAAGTAAATTGAGCTATTAAGACATACACTCAACTCTACACTTTTACGCACAAAATGTCTAAACCCTAACCCTAACTCAACTCTGACCTAATGAGCGAACTCCAAATTGTCCCAGTGCAAATTAATCTAGTCGAGTTTCAATCGGACACCTTTCAAGGATGTGACTGCATACACATTGTCATTTGTTCAACGATTCAAATCTATTTCATTTAAACTAACACTTTTTTATCACCTACAATTTTTTAATATCTATTATTAATAGAAACACAAATTGAGAAACAATTTGAGTTTCTTTAATTAGTGAGCCCCATTAAAATGTTGCATTGTGAATTTATTAGCATCCAATTAAGTTCCCAAAATGCAGTTTAGTCCTTTTGCCCTAATGTATGGACTTCCTTTTGTTTTCCCCTTTCTTGAAAAAAATCTGTGGTGAATAGTTTAGTGTTGTCCTAGGTGTATGTAGGGAGTACAATAAGTATCAATCCTTATACTTTCTTGGCCAATTCTTTAGGCCTCTAGTATAAGATGCATGATTTTACATCAAAATTGAAAATTAATCCTTCCACATATAGAAATATACCCTTCACATTGCATTGTTTCACCAAGTTAACACCCCATCAGACCTTCACCACTGGGGTCTTTTCATGCTTTTGCTAGCTGTAACCCTATTATCACTGTTCCTTCTTTTCCCCTTTTCTTTCAAAAAATCTCAATGAAAATGGTAAAAAAATCAATCATATTTGCTTCGGACTAGTTCAGTTAGTTCGATCGGTCACTCTAAAATTGTGTTCTAGAGTAGGGATTCTTGAAATTTAGGATTAATTTGACGTAAGCTGGAAGCCTAACATATCAAAGAAAAACAAAAACATTCATATTTTCCAATTTCTGAAAATTTTATTCTTTTTTATGGTTTGGGTTTACAGCAGGAAAAAGAAATAGGAAAAAAAAAAAGTAATTTTGCTTTTTACTCAAGGGATTGTCCCTGTTGATTTGTGCTCCCTCTTTTCACAGCCTCTCCTGTTGTCTTATTCCATTTCTCTGCTCATCCCACTCTTTGCTACAGTTCAGAGAGAGAGAGAGGGGGGGAGAGGGATCAGGCAAGGCATGATTATATAGAAATAAAAGAAGCTTCTTTTATTTATTTTTCTCCACTGCAATCAAATACTACTACTAATACACAAACCTCATTCTTATTAGTGTGTTCTTGAGTTTTACATGCTATCAGTATCTGGCTTTACTTGTATCATTTCAGGAGTCTTTCAATTTCAATACCATTCTTTTTTTTTTACATTCTTGAACTCTACTGTTTTGAACTTTGATGTCTACACCCTTGGAAGAGCATGATTACATAGGCTTATCAGAGGTTCCTTCAATGGAGAACTCTGAGAAGAGCTGTGTTTCCTCTGTTGAGAGTGAGAGGAAGGCCAAAGGTTTGAACTTGAAGGCCACTGAACTGAGACTGGGGTTGCCTGGTTCTGAGTCCCCAGAGAGAGAGAATGGGACTCTGGTGGTGGAGGAGAAGAGTGGGGTTTTGGGGGCCAAGAGGGGGTTCTCTGACACCATTAATGGTGGTTCTGAGAAGTGGGTTTTCTCTGCAACTGGTGGATCTGAGGCTGACTTGCCTAAAGGTGGAGCCTTGTTTTCCCCTAGGGGTGTCAATGGAGGTGCCAAGATCCTTGCTCCTGAAACTAACACTCTCCAGTCTTCCATGGCTTCCACTCTTATCAAAGAGGAGGAGAAAAAGCCTCAGGTTTCTGCTGCAAAGTAATGTTTTTTTTCTTCCTTTATCATCCAAGAAATATATAATAATCACTGCTTAGCCTAGAATTAGCTTAAATTCTTATGTATTAGGTTTGTGGCTTCACTGGGTTGTGCATTTATGGGGGGAATTTCATTATGTGGGCAAAAAGTTCATGCCTTTTTCCATACTGTTCATCTTTCTTGAGAATAATATTGCTTCTGTTCTTCCCTTTTCAAATGATAAACTGTTCTTCTAGCATTATGACTGTAGTTAAGCTATTCATGGAACTGTTGGTTACTTGGTTTTGGGTATTTCTGTTGTATTTGGTTCTAATTAGGGGTGGGCATTTCGGTTCGATTCGGATAAGATATGTTCTTGAATTTCCCAGATTTGTATTATTACTTGAACTTGGATCTGATCTGGGCAATTGGGTAAAGTAAGAAGGAAGGTAGTTAAGATTTAAGAACCTAACTAATATGACCACAATAGATTCATTCTTCTCATGTCTTGGACAGGGCACAGGTGGTAGGATGGCCCCCGATTCGATCTTTTCGTAAGAATTCGATGGTTACTAATCCTCCCAAGACCGAAGAAGGTCCCGATGGGAAGTCGGGGTCGGGTTGTCTCTATGTCAAAGTCAGCATGGATGGCGCCCCGTACCTGAGAAAAGTTGACCTTAAGATTTACGACTGCTATAAGGATCTCACTTTGGCTCTCGAGAAGATGTTTAGCTGTTTTACCATCGGTAATCCTCTGACTTTGGCTGAGATTAATGTTTTGAAGTAACGGTTTTTTATATTGCTGTAAAAAAGAAGTGAAGAACTGCTATGATCACACAATCAACGTCGTTGATAACTCGGGACTTATCTTTTTTACCTTCGTATTCAGGTCAATCGGGATCTCCGGGTGTTCCTATCCGAGATGGATTGAGTGAAGGTAGATTGATGGATCTGCATGGTTCCGAATATGTACTTACCTTTGAAGACAAAGACGGTGACTGGATGCTTGTCGGTGATCTTCCATGGGAGTAAGTTTGGTTTTTCTTTGGTTGTAGATTCTCCATTTCGGCGTGTTTTCATCTCCTGAAAACTGATCAATTTTATTTCCTATGCCCCCATTAGTACTATCCTTAATAAGTGAAAATAGATTAAATGCGTTTTGGGAAGTTTGAAACTGAAATATTGCTGTTAAACAACCCGATCTTTAGCACTGTACTCGTTTCTCAAATCCCGTTCTCCTACTATATTTGGCTCGATGTTCTTAATGTGTGATTGGTCATTTGTTGCAGAATGTTTGTAGACTCTTGCAAGCGTCTAAGGATCATGAAGAGTTCAGATGCTGTCGGTCTAGGTAAGAGACCATAACCAACCTCGAGAATTAATTTTTTTTTGAAATACTCTTGATTCTTTATAAGGTAGTATCTGTTCTATACTTTCTCAATTTTTTTTTCAACCCAAAGAATCAATAACCTTGGTTTGGAATGGTAACAGAGGTGTCCTCACAGTACATAGTAATTGGCACTGGGATGCCATTTAATCCTATTTTTCCTGTATAGAGATATAAGGATAGAGATATGTAAAAATATACTTTTGCAATGCATCATAGGATAGATAGACGTATAATTTGCAACGTCTGAGCAACTTAACGTGTTTCTTTGCAGCTCCCAGAGCGGCCCTGGAGAAGTGCAAAAACGGTTAAAAGAAATGCAAGTGGAACAACAACATTCGGGAACGAAGCCTTGATTTGCATTTGAAGTTGGTGTTCTATAAGTTTGTGTAGCTACAAATATTCCATGTCAACCTAGTAAACTGAAAAAAAAAGGGACAACTCTCCAGTAATTAAAAACCTCGTATTCGTATTCAGAATAACTCTGATCTTAAGCTTTCATAGGTATGCTTTTCCTTAAATTCCCAGAATGTATTCTTACTTATTTGCTTCATCAAGGCTTTTGTTGTCGTTGTCGTCTTCTATGTAAATGGCTAATGGTATTGTCTTGTTTATCTCGCTCCCCATCACCGCCACCATCTCTTAGCCACCGGTTTATTTCGCGTGGCAGTTAACAGTTTTTAACACTCATCCATCAACTGTATCAATTGTACTATGTTGTTTTGGCTGCTGTTAACAATTATAGAGTGAAACTTAGAACTACCATACTATTTTGTACCAAGTAGAAGATGGGAATATGGTACTTGTGGAAGATGTTGGGAGTTGTGTTTGTTCTTTGTTCTGCATTTACTCTTTTCTTTTTCGAGTACAAGACAAATCTGCAGTCACTATCCGAGTGTGTGCACTAGGTAAATATTGCATTGTGATCCTAATCGACAAATGATTATAAGGAGGTAAACTAGCCTAGGTTGTCCATAACTGACTGATTCAAATTCAGGAGATTAATATGTCGCTCCCATTGAGAGTCAGACTTATAACTTTGTGATTATTAAGTCAACAACCTGATCACAACTTGTCTGTGGTTGCTCCTGCAGTCACTATCCGAGGGTGTGTGCTAAGTAAATCCCGTCTTATGATCCTAACTTACAAAGGACTACAAGGAGGTAAATTAAAATTAGCTTAGGTTGTCCATAGCTGACTGATTCAATTTAAGGAGATTAATATGCCGCTCTCATTGGGGGTTAAACTTGTAATCTTGTGGTTATCGAGTCAACAATCTGATTAACTTGTCTGAGGTTGTTCCTGCATTTATTGTTTTGTTGAGATGAATGGTGGTTGTTGAGGAGACAACATTCATTTGAAAGGTGGGATGAATCTTTTAATGGTGAAAACTTGTATTCATTTGCAGTGAGGAAGAGAGTCTGAAGCCTGAACCCTTTGGTCATTTACTCTCATTTAATATTGTCTGCACTGCAAAATAATAAATGGAACCCAAGTAAATTGAATATCATGTCTTGGTTCAAGACAGCAATGGTCTAATCACTGATGATTCAAATCCAGTCCGGTCGCAAATTATTGAGTATATAATGGGGTGTTTGGTAAATATTTGTTAGCTGATTAAATTAGTGAGTTTACTAATTGATAACTTTAGTTGATTGTAGAAAGATGTTTTGGTAAATTAGCTGATAGCTGATTACATGCAAAATGACTTTTTTAAGAAGTTGATTAAAAAAACTGCTCAAATTTTAGTGTTTGGACTTTGGAGCAATAAGCTTTTACAAAAAACTAATTAATCAAACACTTATATTAGTTGTTTAACGAAGTCAAACATTTAATAATGGTCAAATAAGTAAAAATTGATTGATAAGCTAATTATATTACCAAACATGGCCAATATATATAACATATTGACCCTATTTGGTAAAATAGTTAGCCTATAGGTCAATTTCAGCTTATTTGACCACTATTAACTGTTTGACTTGGTTAAAAAATCAATATAAGTGTTTGGTTAATTAACTTTTTGTAACTCCAAAATGCTAAAATTCAAAAAGTTGTTTTAAACAACTTTTTCAATTAGCTTTTTGAGAAAAAAAAAATTATACCAAACAGCTATAAGCTAACAGTTAATTTACCAAACACTTTTTTACAATTAGTTAATGTTATTAACTAGTTATACCATCTAATTAACCTAATCAGCTAACAGCTATCAGCTATCAGCTAACAACCATTTATCAAACAGGGTTATTGTTGAACACTTGAATAAGTCCAAAGATCAAAGATTTTGGAATGCACCCTTTGTTGCATGAATGTATACAACTATAGATAGTGAATTAATCTCAATTCATAGCTTTATAAACTAAATTATGCACAAAATAAGTTAAGATAGGGGGCAAAACATAATCATCAAATAAAGAGATTATCACTAACACAACACAAAAACTCTCAAAAAGTCATCATTGAGTTGCTCCATCAATATTTAATATTCTCTCCATCACATTTTCTGTGTCTAGTTAACGAAACTTATCTAAAGTTATTTACAATTTAATTTTATAATATTAAATTTAATATTAATAAAAAAATTATATATTAGAAACTAAATTAAAAATACTATTTAATACAAAGAGAAAATTAGTTAAAAATAATAAGAAAATAAATAAAGGAGAAAAAATTGATTTAATAAATGAATAATAAATATGCGGGTAAAATAAAACAAAGGGAGTAGTTGACTTTAAGATTTTGAAATCAATAAGTACATAATTGTATAACATAAGACACAAAAACGCATAGCACAAAATACAAAAATGCATGTTATATTTATTTTATTTAAGCTATAGAATCCATACGCTTGAGGTACAGAATTGCATAACATGAGACATAGAAACGCATAACATAAGACATATACACATAATTTACAATAAAAAAAAAACTGTAACGTGAATTGAACAACAAACGATCGCCGTCAAAATTAAAACTCTAAACTACGTCGTTTATGACCAAGGTCCACGGTGTAATGGTTGTTTCGTACCAAGGTGGACCTTGATCTATGGTATTAAAGTTAGAAAAATATTGTGCAAGAAGCCCAAAGAAATATTGGGCCTAGCTTAAAGTGGAAGTCCAATTCTAGTCTCCGTCGCTCGCATTGATGATTGAAGGAAGAAAAGTGGCAGAATTGCAGAGTGAAGCCGGAGAAGATGAAGCTGAAGCAGCTAGAGAGCCTTCTTGGCTCTCTTGAACAGTTCCCCACTCCGAAGGTCTCTCTTCTTTCTCTCTCAATAAACACACGCCTGTTGATTTACGGTATAGATTTACGGATTTTCTTTCTGTAGTGGAGTTATTGTTTGCTTTTATGGCAGATTGAACTCGAACAATATCCAACTGGACCCCACATCGCTTCCCGGATGCTATACACTGTAAAATCTTCAATATTCCCCACTTTTATAGATACCCTTTTCCTATTCACCCCTTGTAATTGACTATGATTTTGATTCTTAGTTGTTGTTATTTTCAATTCTATGTTCTTTTTGCCTCAAGAAATAAAAAATTTCCCCCCTTTTTGTGGATAAATATAGGCTGAAAATTCATTTGGGGATGTAAGCAATAAGGTGGTTGCAGATTTTGGTTGTGGGTGTGGTACATTAGGCCTTGCTGCAGCTCTCTTAGAAGCTGAGTATGTAAATGGATCCATTTTATTTGTTAAAGAATTCATCTTTGGAACATGATTTTTTAAATAAGTTGTTTGAAGTTATTTTAGGATGATGTTTTGGAGTTGTGTGTCATTTGATTTTTGATTAATCGTGCAAACAGACATGTTATTGGGCTTGACATAGACACCGAGTCTCTTGAGATTGCAGCTACTAATGCTGATGAGCTTGAGGTTCGTTTTCGCTCTTCGTGTTTCTTGGGATATATATACGCTACTCCTGTTTGATCTGCGATTTTGGATTCTTCAAGGATACTCTTATAGCACTGTTGGGCATATAATAAATAAACATAAATGTGCAATCAAACTATCTGCTTAGACTTTTAGTTGAGATAGTGCACAAAGGTAACACGTGGAGCCCATCAAAAAGTAATTGGCCCGCACACGTGAGGGGGCGTGTTGAGCATATAATATATAAACACAAATGTGTAATCCAACTATCAGCTTAGACTTTTAGTTGAGATGGAGCACATGCTTCAGTTTGCACCAGGGTTGTTCATCTAATGCGTTTTACTCTTGCAGGTAGACATGGAATTCGTTCAATGCGATATCAGGAACTTACAGTGGAAAGGTATCTCTGCATTTTTGCACTTTGGAAAAAGTGGGGTGGGGGTGTTGTAAACTTGTAATTTCTATATGAGGGTAAATAGTTACTGGATCAGCGGACTATTAGCTGAATTCTTTACTCTCACCATGAATAATTAAGTGTACATTCTTTGTTTTCATAGTGTAGAATTGGTTTTTACGTGTCAAACAATAACTTGTGAAGGTGCGGAATGCCTCTGTGATATTTTAGATTCAAAAAAGAAAGAATCTTTTCAATGTTCATTGTCCACTTTGTAGGAGACAGATTTTAGATTTAAAAAAAAGTTTAGAATAGGATTCTTGGGTTTTCCAATATGTTTTGTATCCCTAATTTTACGGTATTACCTATTTTTGGTTCATTTGTGCACTTTGACATTTCAGTTGTTATCATGGCCAACCGACGTGTGCTTGATGTTTTTAAGAAATGGATATATAAATTAAGCGGGTGTTAAATTCTATGTAGGCCAGATTGTTGATACCATTGTCATGAATCCTCCGTTTGGAACACGGAAGAAAGGTGCTGACATGGATTTCCTTTTTGTGGCATTGAAGGTACGAGCACAATGTTCCATTCTGAGTGTCAGTTATTGTTGTCCTCCAGGTTTCGTCTGTATGCTCGGGACTAAGTTTCTAATGTTTGTTGTATTAGGTTGCTTCTCAAGCGGTTTATTCCTTGCACAAGACCACAACTAGAGAAGTAAGTCTTGCAACCGTACAAGTTGTACCTTGTGGTATAGAAAGCTGATTGAGCCATCATGTGTGAATTTAAACCAAACCATAATACAACGTAGAAATGATGCAATATCTATCTCGTTGCTTGTGTTGAGCACAATATAATATAAAATAAACTGTGTAGTCCATCCTTAACCAAAGGTCAAGGGTTCGATCCTTGGCTTTGGGTATAGACCAGTCTTAAATCTCTTGGTCAGCTGTCCCACCCAAAAGCGGTGCCTACAATTCAATAAGGGGATTAGTCACTGTGTTCGACGGTGGAAACCCTGGGTACATCCAAAAAAAAATGTGTAGTCCGACTATCAGCTTACACTTTTAGTTGAGACAGAACACATCCTTGTTTAGGCCTGGAACACATCCTTCAATTTGAATTGGGAAACATAGTCATTATGCATAGAATGCTTAAAATGGGAAACAGCTTTTAGTTTGAGCGTTTTTATTGTGGTTTCTGCATAATATTCTACCAACCCAGTGACCGATTTTGTGTTTCTATTACTCTGTCAATGCAATTTATACCCAAATAATGTGTTTTTTTCAAAGAATATTCAGAAAATAAAACGGTACTAATGTACTATAATCTTTACCTTGTTTATTCATCTGGTGATAACAGCACATCAAAAGAGCTGCATTGCGAGATTACAACGCTAGCAGTGCTGAGGTTATATGTGAGGTAGGTATACTTTACAAAAGTTGTTTTTCTGTATTTTTTATCTGAGTACAAGTTAGTTTTTTTTGGTCAGGCCATGAGGTGTCCTGAGCAGATCCTAACTGTAGGAGGCACCTTTAAGCCCGTACCATATTCAGACTAATCCCCATTCGCACCGGGCCGGCCCAATAAAGGGGCAAAGTGCTAGCCAGATTGGTTTTTCCATTATTCCATACGAAAGGGGGTTTGAACTCCCGACCTCTCTTAAGGGATAAGAGTGCACGGCCACTCACGCCAACCAAGCTGGTTATTGAGTACAAGTTAGTATATATGGTGTTTGTGAACAAGATTCTGTCCCGCTTTCCAGCTTAGGTACGACGTGCCACAGCTGTACAAATTTCACAAGAAAAAGGAGGTAGACATTGCGGTGGATCTATGGCGATTTGTTCCTCAACGACATGCCAAGAGAACCACAAAGAGTTGATAGCATTTGCACTTTCACTGTCAAAAAGGAATGAATGTAAAATCAGAAGAAATGATAGTCCTTTTTTTGTACGAGAACATGTCCCCAGTGCCCCTTCTGCAGCTGTGAATTTGTTAGAAATCCAACCTGGGATTTTACTTGACTGCATAGATTGGTTGATCTATCTTTAATCTTTGATACAGAGATTTGATCAAACCTTGTACAATCTTGTTGTCTTTTCTGTGTTTCTCAGGGTTACATCACTCTGGATAGCTTTCATTTTGAACTCTTCTCCACGCACTCGTCTCTCAAGTAAAGCACCAATGTTCGACACTCCTATAAAAACTATCTCAATAGTGGGTATTTGGCACCAATTTAAGTATCACTTCACAATCTTTTGTGGTGTTAATGTAAGACTGTATCAATGCACCATGCCTACTATTATAAATAGGCCTACTATATTATAAATAGAAAAGGATGATGTTATTTTTGCAGATATCTATCACTCTATGGAACTTTTACCGTGCCAAATGTCATTGGTGTAGTATCATACTCGGTATAACCATATAGATGTAGTGATTAGTATCGGGCACTTTTAATATCCGTTTTGACAGTACTCAATACAACTCACTACACTCGTGTATTTGTATCATATACAATATAATATTAGTGGCAATTAACATCTTAAAATTTTTTTGCAAATATATATATGCGGCTACTACTTCTCGTGCGGTCATGCAACTTTGTATCACTATGTATGTACAAATGCACAGGGTGATGTATTTTACAAATTGAGTGGTGTTGAGTGCACCACTCTCTGATGCATTTTTGTGCATACATAGTGATGCAAAGTCGCACAACTGCACGGGAAGCAATAGCCGCACCAGATGTTATCATATATATATATATATATATATATTCTAGGCTTCTTATAAAGCAAGCAGAGATTTGGAAAAACAAAATATAATGAAGGTTAGGTGGACTATAAGAATGATAATGCCATGAATAATGTTACACTCAAAGAGGAAGAGCCAAGAGATGAGAGGCAGAGAGAGAGAGGGGTACTAACCATTGGGACCAAAATTAATTGTCTATATATCACTCTTCATTACATACCATATCTTCCATGTCCAAGAAAAATCTTATAGAGTACTTGGGATGTTGGTTTTTAATTTTTAAAAACTTTTGTTTTTAATAATCTTTAAAATTCTTATATCTCTATGATGCTAGGAGCAGGAGATCATGGGAGACCGAATGCAGTGTTTTGCGGTTAAGTTGATGGTAGCCACTTGTACGTGGGGACTATTTTAGGGTTTTGTTTAATTTAAGATTATTACTTGGTATGTATGCATTAGTATTAACCAAACTTAATTGGGGTGTCTGATACGAGTGGTCAAGTGAGTAGAATATGATTCTTTTATCAAAAAATTACAAGTTTGATTTTATTTTTAGCACTATTTCGCTCGAGTCGGTCGCACAAAATTTTTCTATTGCAGTTTACATCTTCTCCTGTGTGCTAGGAGCGAAATTTACATAATACACACTTTTGGATAGTGACTACAAGTTTTTTCGTCATCAACAAGAAAACTTAAAACTTAATTAGAACTTGGGGTGTTGTTGAGTAGAAGAGACTTATCAATCATTAACCAAATGTCAAGGGTTTGATCCTTAGCTTTGGGTATGGAGTAGCTTTAAATCTCCAGGTCCCACCCAAAAGAGGTGCCTACAATTTAGCGAGGGGACTTTGGGTATGAAGCAGTTTTAAATCTCTAAGCACTTGTCTCATGAGGGGGCTTTGGGTATGGAGTAGTTTTAAATCTCCAAGTCAGATTAGTCACTGATTTTGACGGTGTAAACCCTGGGTACACCCAAAAAAAACTTAATTGGGATTGATGAGAAAGTATATACATAAATGTAGCATCTTCACACGTGCATTGCGAATTTTTTTCAAGATTCCATTTTGAAAAATAATTCAACTTTTGAAATGGAGGGCTTAATTTATTGGGTAAAGCATTAATGGTATGCTAAAAGTGTTTAGGAATGCTTGTAGTTGGTTTGTGCATATAAGTGAGGGGAAATACAAACGAGTTCATCTCACTCATGTCTATAGTACAATATCAATAGTTTGTGATGGATAAATAATATTAGTAGGGCGCAACTCAAGTTTGGTAAGAAAGGGCTTGCATGGGCAACTCAATTGGTCAAAGGGGTGAAATTTGGGAAAAATTATAGAAGACTGATTCTTAAAATCGTGTAAATCTTTACAAACGAGTGTTTTCAAATCATATTTGAAGATCAATCTCTACAAGACAAGATCAGATTTCTAAATTAAGCGGGATACATTAGTATGTAGTTTGCAAGAATCCAATTTTCTTTTTATCCCAAAAGGTTGAATCCCCAACATCAAGGGTCCCACACTCTGATCCAACAGAGTATTTGGAATGATGTAAATTACGGTGACTCAATGACTCAGTAGACAGAGTCAAGCGTCAAGCGTCAACGCGCACAGGGATCCTATTTTCTATGCAAAGTGGGATTCGTTCTCACTATCTATAAAGAGTTAATTCCACCGGAGGTCCCTTGTCTTTGGTGGCAATTCCAAATTTAGTCCTAGACTATCGTTTTTGTCATTTTACATTCCAGACTAACATTTTTTGGACACTTTTAGTCATTCTCATGATTTTTTCTATTTTTAGTAAGGACATTTTTGTCTCTTCATATTTTTCTTTTGTTATTTTTCCGATTTCAACAAGTTTAATTAGTTTAGGACTTTACTAAAAATTAGTTGAAAATATGATTACTAAAAATCAGAGGTTACCTAACGTTTTAAACCAATTAAACTGATTGAAACCGGAAAAATAACAAAAGAAAAATATGAAGAGACAAAAATGCCCTTACTAAAAATAGAAAAAATCATAAGAAGGACTAAAAGTGTCCAAAAAACAATAGTCTGGGATGTAAAATGGCAAAAACAATAGTCTGGGACTAAATTTGGAATTGCTACAAAAAACAAGGGACCTCCGGTGAAATTAAATCATCTATAAATATACATAGTTATAACAAGCTAAAATATTCAATTGTTTCAATACAATTAATTTTCTTTCGAAATCAGCGAACAAGTTTGCTCATACCTTAGCTAGAGCAGCTCGTTTACAACCTGTTCCTATGCATTGGTTATCTATTATTCCTACTTGTATTTAAACATTTATTCTAATAAAGTTGCTTACTTTTCCCTTCAAAAAAAATTAAATTCAAGATCTTCAATTTTCAAAAAAATAAAAATAAAAATTCAAGATCTTCACATCTCTCTAGTAACTATATGGAAGGAATATTCTCTCATCCCTCTCCTAAATAATAGCCTATAGACTCTCATTATCATGCACACGTACATAACACATCATCATGAAAATAGTAGTTTGGCTTGTCAAGCCGGAAGCCAGTTGTTATACCATGAACCAAGTTTCACCTTGCAAGGTGGATTTAGGTCCAAAATACACAATTTATATGTGAATGTAGATTCAGATCCAAAATACACATTTTACATATTGAATATTTACAATTTACTTAATTAATGTTTACAATTTACATACTAAATGTTCACAATTTACCTTTTACAAAATTCTGAACGTTCAGTAAGTGAATTGTGTATTTTGAACCTGGATCCACAGAATAATTTGCCGCCGGAGGCCTATCCAACAAGAAAGTAAACTAAATAGAGGAGAGAAAAGAAGAATAAAACACAATATTTCCCATTTTTTTTGACGATGAGGGAAACCCGCAATTACTATCTGAGAGTGTGCATTGGATAAACTTGACCTTGATCTAGTTAGCAAATGAGGTAAACCAATTTGGGTAGCTCATAACTGACCTCCCCAAATCAAGAAGGCTAATATGTCATCAGTCATCTTACGCAAAAAATCAAACTTGTAACCTTGTGATTATCAAGTAAATTACCTAAACAATTTAGCTAGCCCATTACAATATCATGTGATAAAAAAATTTCCTCACTGCCCCTCCCGGCCCTTATACACACGTATATCTAATTTATCTACTTATGAGAATTTCAACAACTCTATCTATCTATTAAATGTAAAGTACATTTATGATATTTCACTGTAAAATTTTATATATATATATATATATATATATATATATATATATATATATATATATATATATATATATATATATATATATATATATATATATATATATATATATATATATATATTGGAAAAATGGCACTTTTTCTCCCTGAGTTATATACTTATAGCACTTTTCCCCCCTCAATTATTTAGGTAAGCACATTAGCCCCTTCAATTATTCTAAAAGTGGTGTTTTCCCCCCCTAATATATTAAATTGACATTTATACCCTTAAAATAAACATTTTATTTATTTTACTTCTCCAACAAATTATTGCGTATACGTAAGGATGACCACGATTCGGTTCGAACTGAATCAGACACTATAGCAATCGAATTAAAAGTTTCCGGTTATGATTCAGATCTAGAACTCAATATTTGGATTTCAATTTATTAAAATTATGAATCAAAAAAATTGGATCCTGAACCGTGAACCGGCGGTTCCGGACCCGATTCGCGATTTTGAACCGTTTTTATTTTTAAATTTTTATTTTTATTTTAAAAATAGTCTAAATTCAACAATAAATGTATTTTATTTTTTCAGTTCGGAACATGAACCGTCCGTTCCGGGATTTTAATAAACTCTAAATATCGAGTTTCGATTCTAAATTGTAATTGGAATATTTCGGTTTGGTTGCTATAGTGTTTATTTGGTTTGAACCAAATTATGGTCATAATTTGTTGGAGAAGAAAAATAAATAAAATATTTATTTTAAGGATAAATATGCCCATTTAACATTTTAGGGGGAAAAACAGCCACTTGAATAATTGAGGGGGGAAAAGCGCTATAATGATGAAGTGATGCAAGCTGAATATGGTGAAGTGGTGCATCATGCTGTATGGACACAGGCTGCAACACATAAGCTTTCCAATGAAGGGCTTCTAAGTCTTTTCCCACCTTAGTTAGTTATAACCGTTTTTGGTTCCTTCATATAGTGCTTTTCCTTCTTCTTCTGTATGTAATGATACACACTCATCTTTCCAGTTTACATCTCAATCAATGCTTCCTTTTTTCCCTTTCACCTTGTTGTTCATATGATCCAAGATAGTTCATCATGGTATCAGAGATTCGCAGAAGCTACGCCGGAGCTATAACAGTGGGAGCAAACGGCAACGGAAATGGA